TTTGACATAAAAGATTACATACTTTTAATAAAGTTAGAAAAATGCCATTACAAAGGTAAAAACAAAATTCCACTGTAAATCACTTTAAGGAGTCAAATATTTGACTAATTTTTGATCAAATTTTGGATTATTGATTAGAAGGTGCTCCTAAATTTTTGACTGTGCTCCTAAATTTTTTAAGTTAGGAGCACAAGTGCTCCTAAAAAGAAAAATAAGCGTAGAGCCCTGAGTTGTATTGGGAAAATGGAATGTGCATTTTCCTTTTTTACTCTAAATCAACATCTAATGTATTTATTTATTTTATTTAGTATGAGGACCTTTGCAGAATATAGCAAAATGGGTAATAACTGGACTGATTACTGGTAAGCATTACACCGGACACATTACCTTGAGCTTGCAGATGAACAGATGTGCTGAGAGAACGAGCAGCTAAACAGAAAGACAATGCAGTTAGTAATACCGTTCTAATAAGTGATAATGACATTAAATGCTCAGTAATCTGCATAACGTGAAGTGTTCTTTAGCTCTGCTGAGACCCAGGACGTCTTACCAAACTGAGCAGCCTGCACGGATGTCAATGGGCTGCTCCTCAGTGAAGTCAACAACATAGATGCCATCTTTGATTATCTGGAAGACTTGAACCAAAAGTATGAATGATTATTATTCAAAACCATCAATCATTTCTCTGTCTAACAAAGCAGGTGCACTCATAATCTGGATGACAATACAAAGGAATAAAGTAAAGGAATAATTGTTTTAGTTTCCATTCATAAGATAAATAAAGATCAGCGAAAATAAAACTTTGCAGAAATTAGTTAAGCATAACAAAGGAATGTTTTATTGTCCTACTGAATGTACTGTTATCACACAGTGATGTAAGTGTTGTATAATAAAATATATTTATATTTGATTTATATATTTATATTTGATCTGGGGTGCATGAGTGGACTTCAAAAGTGTTAAACATTAAGTAACAAAATATCAAAACGTGTGATATGCACTCAAATGCTGCAGGATATTTTCTCTTCACTAGCTTCACACTTAAGTCCCAATATATTTGAATCAGCAGTTTTGGTGATTTTTAGTGGATGTACGAAGGTGTCCTAGCATTGGAAGCACAGGTGTATATCATAATTAACAATCAACATGTTGCACTAACCACAAACAAACAGTTAAGCAACACTGATTGTCTTCATGTTTAAAATTATATATACTGCTGTATCATTAAAGCCCTGTTTCTTTGAAATAATTACACTTGCTTTGATATTTTGCATCAATGGAATGACATTAATACATTTTATAGGTGGTAAAGTTTTGAAATGCTCTTCAAGTTGCTATCCATTTTTGACATTAATATATTGAGTATGTGATAGTTATGATAATACAGTAACATAGGTATGTCTGACAGTGATCTGGTGTGTGTGTGTGTGTGTGTGTGTGTGTGTGTGTGTGTGTGACCCTTCACCTACTTCTGTCAGTAGACAGGACAAGGACAAATATGCAAAAGCATTAAACATTTAAACAGCAACTTACGATCTTGACATCATTATAAAACAACACTGGTCATGATATAACCACACATGGCAGTAAAATCCCAGTAATTAAACATAAAAACGACACTTTAACAAATATGAACGAGCAGACGGATTCATTCTTCCGCATGTCTAAAAACACTGTTTAAGATATTCATCAAGAATCATCATATAAACACAATGTGTTATAATATAAGCGCATAAATCATATTTTACCTGTTATTGTTGTGAATGTTGAGAGAGTGCGATGTTTGATGTCTCGCGTCTGTCTAATGACTACAGCAGTGCACGATCCGCAGGACCCCGCGTCCCTGGCAACCCGAATCACTGCCTGAGCGAAAAGAAACCCGCGGCGGATTCTTACTTTATATATTAAAAAGTGACTTTGTGTTAACATATATACACATACATACATGAATAAGTATACAAGTTTATTATATACACTAAGTGAGATAAGAAGATGTTTTTTTTTATAAAAGGCGCTAAATTGGCTGCCCTAACGGCGGCTGCACGGGCTATCGCTTGTCAGTGCGTGCGCGCGACGCCTTCACGGTGAAGTTTTGAGAAGGATGGCGAGCGCGAGATTGCTGTTGACGCGGAGCGGCTGCACAGCTTTAAAAACTATCACAGGTGACAAACTTATTTATAAACTTCATGTACTTGATGTCCATATATATCTTATTAAATTTTACTGTACTTGTACTTGGATATATCCGCTTTTGAGTGAGATTAGGAGAGGTTGAATGAGGTGACCTGCAAGAATGAACTTTCACCTAGTTTTGACAGTTCAGGTCAGTGAGCCACAGGTGAGTCAGTACAGGTATAATAATAATGGTGTAAATTATACCATGTTTAATTATAATTATAAATACATGATTAATAATATAAAATCACTAGTAATACAGGTCCAATGGCAACTATAGTATCCAAAATATTACAGTTTTTACAGCTGCTGTGACCGTAAAATCATAAAAAGTGATACTTTTTTCATTTATACAGTGTAAGATATTTCTACTTATTTGCTTTATTTTTGTTTTTGTTTACAATTAAGTTTAATGTCAAGTTAGCAATAGCATAGTAAACCATACACAGATCTTTGTCTGCTGGGTCAAAACATGATACAAAAATAGAAATATCAGTGTGTAGCAACAGTAAAAGTTACTATAGTACTTAACACGATTTACCACGGTTTTAGAATTTAATTTTTATGTTCATTATTATATTATATTATATTATGCATCATTCCATGAATCATATGATGCGATTTCAAGTTTTCCTTTTTCTTTGGAGTGTTACAAGCTCTTGGTGCATAAATAAGATCTGTAAAGTTGCAAAGACTAAAGTCTCAAATCCAAAGAGATATTCTTTATAAAAGTTAAGAGTCAGCCACACCTACCTAAAACGGCTCGTTCTAACATGCACCTACATACCTACGTTGCTATGTGGGAAGATTTGCATAACGCCGCCCAAATGTTCACGCAAAGAAAGAAGGCATAACTTTTATTCTCGCTGTAGTATTGTTGCCGCCGCCGCCATGTCATGAAGACGCTGTGTGCTTCGTTGTGAAAGCGAAACTACTTTGTTTGGTCTTCCAAAAGAGGACGATATCTGCTTCGTCATGCCTAGAGCTGATCTGTGCTGGTTGCTGAGGAATTACAACAACTTCACGCTGTGGATCACTGGATCGGCTTTCACTGTGGACGAAGCGGAGTCCAGCCCGGGGTCGTCACATGTGGTTGCCGCAAGACCTGGACGCTCCTTCGTCGAATCCGCCGCCTCTGCTCACTCAGCCCGCCGGCCGTTCCTCACTTTATCCCCCTTCGCTTCCTGTCTCACTACTATCCTATCAATAAAAGGCAAAAACGCCAAAAATAAAAAAATCTTAAAAATCGACACGTTTCAGAAAGGCGGGGCATAGAGGAGAAACAATAATGTACAGTATGTGGAAAATAATGTGTTTTTTTTACCTTAAACCGTATAAACACATTTCATTACACCAAATACACCAAGTAATGTTCTTTTTCGCAACATCATATGACCCCTTTAAGGTATTTAGGTTCAATGTTTGTAGTAAGTTTATGATTTCTTGTATTATTTTAACTTCCTGTGACCTGCTGACCTCGTGACAGACACGTGTACTCACACGCGGTGTGTGTTTGGTCATGTGAATGTGACAGGTGGGGTTGAATGGGGGAACTGGGGCAGAGGTCATGCGTGTCTCCAATGAAAACAGGATTCTGGGCCAAAGGTCACCGTGTCACCTGTTACATGCATTTCCATAGAGATCCCAAATTTAATAAAGTATATTTAAAACAGCCGTGTGATGTACAATATATCGATCTTATATTTATTCTGTAATATAATCAATAAAATATTGATTACAGTCTGTTTGGGTATTTACAACAGCATTTTGTAAGATAAGATACAGATTAAGAGTTAATAAATCGCTTGTTTAATCATAAACATAAACCAGGCTTGTGAATTACAATATTACTTTGTTAAAAGGAAATGGCTTCTGTGTACGAAGGACTGTTAGACTTTGCATTAAAGGTTCACATGAAACTGTAGACGTGTGTGATCGTGTTTATTTTTGTATTGGGTCAAAGGTCATGGACAGAGGAGTCTCTCCATATCATCCGCTGTGCTGGGTAACTATTAAAATGAGAATAGATGAATAGAGACATGCTTAATGTTTTCTTTTTAATCACTTCTTTTTCTCTCTCTGTCTGCAGCTCGCACTCATGTCAGTTATGAGGTCAAGGATAATGTTGCTGTGGTACGAATCAATGATCCGACCTCAAAGGTGTGTTGTGTTCTTCCCTTGATTCCTCTGATGTAATAATGTCAATGTTTATTGATTTAAAATAAATACTTTTATTCAACAAGGATGCATCAAAAGTGAGAGTAAAGACATTTATAATGTTGCAAATAAAAGTTACATTTCAAATAAATGCTGTTCTTTTGAACTCTCTATTCATAATCCTGAAAAATGTATCATGGTTTCCACAAACATATTAATCGGCACAATTGTTTTCAACATTGATGATAATAAAAAATGTTTCTTGAGCGGCAAATGATCATATTAGAATGTAGGGCTGCAAAATTAATCGCATTCAAAATAAAAGTTTGTTTACATACTATATGTTTGTGTACTGTGTTTATTTATTATGAATATATAAATACACACATATGCACATTTGTAAGTCGCTTTGGATAAAAGCGTCTGCTAAATGACTAAATAAATAAATAAATGTATATATTTAAAAAAATATTTGTATATATATTTATACTTGTGTATAATTTATATTATATATAAATATAAATATTTATAAACATATTATTCCTTAATATATACATGTATGTGTGTGTATTTATATATACATAATAAATATACACAGTACACACACACATAGTATGTAAACAAAAACTTTTATTTTGAATGCGATTAATCGTTTTGCAGCCCTATTAGAATAATTTCTGAAGGATCATGTGACACTAAAAACTGGAGTAATGATGCTGAAAATTCAGCTTTGCATCACTGGAATAAATTATATTTCAAAATACATTCAAATAGAAGGCAGTTCTTATAAATTGTAATACATTTTCATAATATTACAGCTTTTACTGTTACTTTTTTTAAACAAATGCAGCCTTGGTGAGCAAAAAAAAATGTTTTCACACACAAAAAAAAAGAACACATTTTACTCACCCCAAACTTTTAAATGATATTATTATATGTCATTTTGTGTGTTGTAGGTGAATACTCTTGGCAGGCACATGCAGGCAGAGCTGGTGGAGGTGATCAATGAGATTTGGGGGAATTCAGCGGTAAAGAGCGCCGTCCTCATCTCCAGTAAACCAGGAAGCTTCATCGCAGGAGCCGACCTCAAGTACCACACTCTCACGCACACACAGATTGTTCAAACCATTTATAGAGACTCGCGGTCATCGTCATCTCTGTCTTTTAGTATGTTTCAGGCCTGCAAGACAGCAGAGGAAGTGTCATATCTGTTACAGGCAGGACAGAAGATGTTTGAGCAGATAGAGAAATCTCCCATCCCTTTTGTGGCTGCTATTAACGGTTCCTGCCTTGGCGGTGGACTGGAGGTGATCATGTTATCTTTAATTATTCACTTTTATTATTTAATTCTTATTTGTTTTTAATTCATCAATAAATCCCTTTTGAGATGCCTTTTCAACTACTGTGAACTAGAGGTTGACATTTTTTCGGGAATCCCGTGGGATGGGAGACAAAATCACTATTAATTACGTGATTGGGACGAGACAGGAAAAAATGTCAGCGGGAGTGGGCGGGACCGGGAATCGTAATAACACTATGATACCCAACTTTATACACAAATATACCTTTTATATAAATAAACTGTATATTTTAATTTTGAACTCTATTCTAGTTGCCCTGTCTCTTTATGCTCTTCTCCTGATTGCTCTGGTGTGGCTTGTTTAAGTGAATGGCGTGTATCGATAACGGCTGGTCTATGTGGTAATACAGTACATCGGGCAGGACATCCAAAAGCTCACCTATCATTCATCGACCTCAAATATGGTTTTTCATCTGAAAGATGTATGTAGTAGCAACTTTACATGGTCGCTCAATCTAATGTTAACTAGAGAAATGTGCGCTGTTCAAGTGTCTGTGCGGAAGCTGAACAGCAGCGCGCTCACTGCAGAACAGATGAGGGCACCGGTGCGCTCACTTGCTCTTAAAATACTCCGTCATTTTTGGTCATACAGATAAGAGTAATGCATCTTTCAAATCTGTAAAGACTCTGTTTATTTGTGTGCACTCAGAATAACAACGAAACGTTGCGCTTCTGTAAAATAATGAAAGCAAACAGGATGCTCTTTCTGCCGTCTCGGTCTCTGTGAACTTGAGCGCGAAACTCCGTGTATGAAAAATATATCTATAGAGAGTGAAATGTCTACTTTCAAATGAACCAATTCAAATAGAAAACGTGTGTGTTTGCATTTAATGTGTGTGCAATGCACACTTTGCATTGTTTAAGCTGGCTTTCAGTTCAATAAAATAACAAAAAACTACATTTTAGATTTTTATTCAATTAAGGTGGGCATGCTGTGATCTGTACTGTATTTTTACTGTAACTGACAGCTTCCGCCAAAAAAACATAACACGGGAGTGGGAGGGAATGGAAGTCATTCTTCTGGGATTGGGACGGGATGGGATTTTCCCCCAGTTTTTTCGTGGGATTGGGACGGGACGGGACTTTTTTTGTGGGAGTGGGACGGGAGAGGTTTGAAAATCCACTCCCGTGTCACCCTCTACTGTGAACAGCAG